AAGGCACCACACTCACCAATTCACCTGCCTTCTGGAGTACCTTTAGGGAACTGGTTCTAAAATGGGAAGGACTCTTCCCAGGTTCCTTGGTTATAAACATGGATTCTGGAAGGACTAGGTGTGCAGGGTGTCTGAGGCCAAAAGAAGAAAACCTGAAAGCCCAGTGGGGCTTTCTTAACCTGGGTAGCACTCACAGCTAGACTCACGTTCTGAAGCTCTGTTTCTCTACCAGGGCAAGCTAGACTCCAGTGCTGTGTGAAAGGGCACTGTTATTCACAAAGCATAGGCAAGTGTTCCTTTGAAAAGCCTACAGCCCTTGGGGTTGCCTGAGGCTGAGCAGTGGTTTAGGGGCTCCCCAACTTCCATTGAGTTAAAAGCTGCTTTGACTCAGTGGTTGTGGGGTGGGATGGGGGGAGCAAGCTTTGGGGGAAAGTCCCTGAGCTGCCTTCTGCTAGCTCCACCCACCACCGTTTTATCACCTCTGGTTCTTGTGCTGAGTCTGAGTTTCACCTAGGTTTTCTTGCTTCCGGTTTTCTAATTTTTTATTATTTATTTATTTATTTATTTAATATTTTTTGGTTTCTCTGTGTAGTACTTGCCATCTTGGAATTCACTTTGTAGACCAGGCTGGCCTCAAATTTATAGAGATCTGCCTGCCTCTGCCCTCTAAGTGCTGGGATTAAAAGTGTGCACCAGGTGTTTCTGATGGTTACCTACAGATCCCTCTGGTCGTGCCCCTCCCCTTTCCATGACACTGAATCCTTTAACCACAAACCCTTGGGGGCTGATCCCCAGTGCTTTCAGCTTTTCTCCTTTCGATGTTAGACTCCCTGGACTCGTAGCCCTTCTCTTAAGCAGTTGAGATCAGACCATCCAGGGCCATGCAATGCAGCCCCTTGTCCTAAACCCAACACTGTCTCATGTCCTTCTCTCTTGGAGGTACACAGAACTCACCCTTTAGACAATCAACAGCGATGTTATTACTGCAAGATTGGAAATGCAAAGGGACAACAAAGTTTCCGTCAATAAGAACCAACTTTATAAATAACAGGGGAAAGATGTGGCTCTCTGTATTCACGCATGGAACAACCTTTGAGAGAAGCTTCTTAGAGGGTGAGGAAACAAAAAGCGGCCAGTGCTAGAGAGATGGCTCAGGGGCTAAGAATGCAGCTCTTACAGAAGATTAGTTTTCAAGACAGAGTTTCTGTGTAGCCCTGGCTGTCCTGAAACTCATCCGTAGACAAGGCTGGCCTCGAACTCAAAATAAGCCAGTTTTTGAACCCGGCTTTTCTTGGTGGTACATGGGATTAAAGGCCTGCACCACCACTCCTGGCTGCATTCACTTTCAAAACGACAAAAAAACAACCGAACAAGTCCTTTATGCATCCATAGAATTTAGCCCAAGAGACTGGATTACTCCCTTAGGAAAGATAATTGCATCTCTTCATCTGCAAAGTGTGGACACTGAAGTTACAAAGGTCAGATTAGATGACATGGGGTGTCAGGCGAGTGGAGTTTAACCTAGTTTAGCACTCAGTAAGCATTCCTTTTTTTTTTTTTTTAAAGATGTATTTATTTTATGTATGTGAGTACACTGTAGCTGTCTTCAGACACACCAGAAGAGGGCATCAGATCTCATTACAGATGGTTGTGAGCTACCATGTGGTTGCTGGGAATTGAACTCAGGACCTCTGGATGAGCAGTCAGTGCTCTTAACTGCTGAGCCATCTCTCCAGCCCCTCAGTAAGCATTCCTAAAGGCCCATTTACTGTTACTTATTTTGGGGGTTTTCACCAGGTTAGGCCCTGCTAGGACATGGAGAGCAATATGGGGAGTTGAAAATGAAGGCCTGCAGAATAAAGAAACGGAAAAGCAGAGGGCGGGGGAGGGAACTATAGACTATCAAGCTCTGGGGTTTAGCTTTGTGGTAGAGCACTTACTTAGCATACAGGTGACCCTGGGTCCCATCCCCCTACCACAAAATTAATTTTAAAAAGAAGGAAAGAGGCAGAGGCAGAAAGAACTCTAGGTTTCATTTACTTAGACACTGGAGAATCTGATGAAAAACAGATTTTGAGTCTGTTAGGGCATGCTTTAGGGAGAGCCTGCAGCCCATTTGAACCCCACGGTGCCACCAAAGTCCTCCTGCCTGATCTTGAAAAGCAGAGTACATCACCCACAACCTCCTGGGACGACTCTCTCTCTCTCTTCCTTCCACTGCCCTAGTGCCAGAGTCTCTCATTATTCTTACTGTATCTGTCCCCATTTTCTCTTCTCTGGGGCCACAGGTCAAGTGGGGACAAGAACAGTAAGTGTTGTACCAGAACTTGGTTCATCTGCTCCCCTTGGAGAGAGGCTACTGTGGATCTGGGCAGAGCTGCCTGCCGCTCTTCTGGGGTGAGGAGCATCAGCCAGAACCCTACAGTGCTGGCTTTCCCCAGAACCATTTCCTTATCCACCCTTGTGCCAGCAAGCCACTGCCTGTTCTAGGCTGAGGGACAAGAACCCATAGCTGCTCTCTTGCTCTCTGCCTGATGGCCAAACCTCCATGACTCTCTGCACCCTGATTGGAGAAAAACACATTACCAAGTTAACATCTCAGGTTCCACCATGAACCGGCCCCGGCCCCTGGGGATCCCGATCTCTCCCCGTGAGATCCGTGATTGAGCAAGTTCTGTGAACTGTCACTGTATCTATCTGCAAGCATAGAGGGCACAGACCTGGATGCAGGTGGAAGGCAGAGTACAAACAGGGCTTGGCTCTTAATAGAGTCTTAAGAAGCAGAGTGCAGTGACAGACCTGCAATCCCAGTGCTCTGGGAGCTGAGGCAAGCAGGAGCTGAGCAAGACCGCTAAGTAAATAAACAGGAAAGATTAGCCTGAAGCAGGTGAAGGCACCCACCGCAGCAGTGGGGGAGGGCGAAGGAAAGGGAAGCAGGTCTGCAGACCTTGCTCAGTGGTAGAGCACACACTTTGCGTGTACATACTGCTGAGTGTGGTGTCCAGCAGGAAGAGGGAGGCGGAGGGGGAGAATATGAATACCTCTGGTTTTCTTCTTTTTATACAAGAGCATTAACCTCATCCTGGGGACCCCTGTCTCTTAATCACATCACATTGGAGATTAGGGATCAATATAGGAATGGGAGTGGGGATCCACAAGTAGTTTATAAGTGAACAGATATTTTTATTGTTGTAACATGAATCAGGAATTCACTGTCATGCAATTACAAAGAAAGAAAAACTATTGAATGGCTCTGCTCTGCTCAGCCTGGCCATCCTCTGGAGGTGTGGCCTAGCCAGAGCGCAGTTTAAAACCGCTGGTGTTTCCTTAGGCATCATAATGTCCTCCTTAAAAAAAAAAAAATTCACTTACTGATGTGTCTTCTGTATGCAATATTTTCTTCTGTCAAGCCAGGGTGAGTATCAGACAGCCCCACACCATGACAGGACAGGACCCCTCCACCCACACCATCACCACTGGGGCCAGGTGAGGTTCTTTCCCATTCTGTGAAGGGCTTTTAATGGCACTCAAGGTTCAGACAGAGTAATCTTGCTTCCACTTTGAAACAGGGAAAGTTCTGGTGTGATCATTTTTCCTGTTGCTTTGACAAAAGCAACTTAAGGAAAGAACAGTTTATTTGGGGTCATAGGTCAAGGGTTCAGTCCATCATGGTAGGGAGAACATGGTGACAGGACGGGAGGCAGCTGGTGCTGTTTCCACGTTTGGAAAGCAGAGAGAGTTCAAATGTGATGGTCAGCTCACAGGTGCCTTCCTCCTTTCTCAGTCTGGACCACAGCGCATGGAGTGGTGGCATCCACACTGAGAGTGGGCATTCCCACTGCAGTTAACCTAATCTAGAAACTCACAGACATGTACAGAGGCTTGCCTCCTGCTTGATAATAAATGCTGTCAAGCTGACAATTGATGCTAACCATGACACTCTTATCAATGCATTTTCCTATAAATGGTGAGGTTTTTCTTTGTTTCTTTTTTTTAAGATTTATTTATTTTATGTATGTGAATACACTATCACTGTCTTCAGATATACCAGAAGAGGGCATCAGATCCCATTACAGATGGTTGTGAGCCACCATGTGGTTGCTGGGAATCGAACTTAGGACCCGTGGAAGAGCAGTCAGTGCTCTTAACTGCTGAGCCATCTCTCTAGCCCCTGAGGTTTACTTTTTCTCCAAGGGATCATCTTGAGAATCTTATTTCACAAATGAGATATTTATCACGTTTTTATTTAGAATCCTGGAGGACTTGTCAGACACTCAAGGGGTCTTGAGTGCCGTGTGCTGTGCAGAATGTCAGACACTTAGCTCTGAAATCCATGGATAAGTGCCCTCTATTTTTTAAAAAAAAAATTCATTCTTATCTCTATCTATCTACTATCTATCTATCTTCTATCATTTATATCTATCTATCTTCATCATCCTCATCATCACTATCATCTGTGTCTACCACCTGTATCATCTATCTATCTATCTATCTATCTATCTATCTATCTATCTATCATTTTGTGATGCTAGAAATTGAACCCGGGCCTTATGTTTGCAAGGCATGTACTCGTACACTAAGCTCTACTTCCAGGCCCATTGATTTATATCTAAACGTATTTTTTAATGGCACATATTTCACACTGTGTTAGTAAATTTAAATTTACTCAGAAACTTTATGAACACTCTCTGATTCCCTATGGCTTTGGGGGTAGCCCATGGTGTGACAAGCCTGTACTTATTGTCTCCAGAGTGCCTGGCTGAGGCTGGACTGCGGGGGTTTCTGGGGGGCTTGCCTCTGCTTTGACTCTATGTTCAACACACTTCTAGCTTGAGCTTCCTTTAGGTCAAATCAATATACTCCATGTCATGCTGAATGGGAACACCAAGCACAGTGGACCAAGTTCACCACTGAATGCGTCTAGGACCCATTTAAAAATCTCCGAAACCATGACCCACCAGCTTAGTCTCCATGGCAGCCTTGCTTTTGTTCTTGTTTAGGAAATGAGGAGGAGTCAGACTACTCAGGACAGAGCACCACTGAAGAAGAAAGCGCAGAGGACGAGACGACAAGTGCTTTGGCTACAGTGACCACAGAAGCATTAGCTGCAGATGTGAACTCTACCGACACCAACGGCACCTCCAATCAGGCGGAATTTCTGTTAATGGTGGCAATCCCCCTAGGAGCGCTGCTCATCCTTCTATTCGTGTTCCTCATTGTAGCCTACTTTAAAAGCAAGAGACCTAAACAAGGTAGGTAACTTGTGTGTTCCCGGTTCCAGACAACCACTATGCACCTTAATGAGCCACCAGAAACAAAATGCTTTCTTCTTTTGTGCAGAGCCTTCTAGCCAAGGATCTCAAAGTGCCTTACAGACACGTGAGTAGTTGCCCGATACTTGCTCAGTGTTGGAGGTAAAGTAGTAAGTGATGAGTGATTACAACTCACTGATGTTTGCAAGAAGTTAATATTCTCTCTCTCTCTCTCTCTTTCTCTCTCTCTCTCTCTCTCTCTCTCTGTGTGTGTGTGTGTGTGTGTGTATAAGTTTTCAGTCTACATTAAAATTATAATATATTGTTGCTACCCGGAGAATCTTGGTCACTAGAACAATGTGACATTTTACTCTGTGGGAGGAAAGGGTCAGGCAGGTGAAGTATGCCCTGTTGGGGTTAACGATAAAGGGTTAGAGAGTGCATCGCTGTCACATGCAAGGGGGTGTTTACTCACATTTCTATAATGGCTATCACTTCCCCCATCCACACCCCAGTTTGAAAAGGGCAGAGAGAACCATTCTTCTTGCTCCCACCATGGTTGCATATCTATATGGAAACTGCTAACTGACTAAAGATAGAACCAAGAGAGGAAACTCCCAGTCGCCAGTGTGCTCGAAAAGTATTGAACAAAATGAGCAAATACTAGAATTCAGGGTCACTCTGGGTCCTAAGCAAACTTGGCATATTTTGACTTGTGTTGGTAAACTCTGACTAGGTCCAGTTTTTTGTTTTTGTTTGCTTGTTTGTAATTATATTCGTGTGTGTGTGTGTGTGTCTACATGCACATTCAAGCCAACAGGCACATGCAATGATGCACATGTGAAAATCAGACATGTGCTTGCAGAAATAGTTTTTTTCCTTTCACCATGTGAGTTTTAGGGATCAAACCCTGCTTGTCAGTGTTGGCAGCAAGCCCCTTTGCCTGCTGAATCATCCTACTGGTCCAGGCTTCAGTTTTTAAATTAAAGCTTTTAAAAGTCATTTCAAACTTCACTTAAGGGTAGGAGCATCTCAAGTAAGATGCATAGTCAGGCTCACATAGAAAACTTGTTCTGTGTCCTCCGGCACTAACAGGGCCCCTTGCTTTCCTTGCTGTCTTCCCTGCACTGGGGAAGCCATTTAGCTCTGGGTATGACTCTATGCACCGCCAGTAGATGAGGTAAGTGGAGCTAGGGAGGAAGTCTTCTTCTTTCACAAAAGGAACTGGTAAAATAATTAGACAGAGGAGGAAGAGGGAACTCTTTTCTGCGGCTGGATATTTCAGAGTAACCTAGCAACAGTGGTTGCGTGGGAGCTCCTCTGTAATCTATAGCTAAAGCAAGACCCAACTGGGCTGCCCAGATACCCTCCCCTCTTCTTGCCTGGACTGGACTTGAACTCTTCCACTCAAGCAGCCCTCTTGTATCAGCCTCTAAAGTAGCTCTGGGCTGCAGGCATGCAACACTGCACCTGGCTGGCTTTTCCCATTCCTGTTTTAACGTCAGGGGAATTCCCTGTCAAACCTAAACTCAAAGTGAAGTCCAGGGCTGGGGCCTCCAGTCTCATGTCAAACTCTGAGGCTTTCAAGCTCTTTGAATTCAGGTGTTCAAGTCTTTCAGTTCCAAAATCATTTGCATGTGAGGAGCAGCCTCACCCTCCTTTTCTTGATAGCTAATCAAAGCAGACAGTTTTCATATTCTAATCCTTACTGTAATGTTAAATTTCAATTGCATATTATGTATCAAACAGTAAATCAATCCATCTATCATCTATGTATGTATGTATGTATGTATGTATGTATGTATGTATGTATGTGTGTGTATGTATGTATCCATCTGTCCATCCATCCATCCATCCATCCATCCATCCATCCATCCATCTGTAGGGTCACAGTTGAACTACCCAATTGAGATGCAGTGAAAGCTGTAAAGGTAAAAGCAGGACAATGTCTAGGATGGACAGAGGGACAGGCAGACAGCAATTCTAGTAGGCTGTATCAGTAGTTGGGATGGCCTAGAGTTTTCTGCCTATCAGTCCCTACGCGCGCACACACACACACACACACACACACACACACACACACTCATGCACAGACTAATTGGGTAAGATGACAGAGTTAGGTAAGGCTGCCCCAGGACAGTGTCCAGTCTTTATACTTTAGGTGACAGAGTTCCTTGGCTTCTTCAGCCTGGTATATCAATCTCTCAGGTCTTTGCTAAGTGTAAATAGTGGCATTTGTTCTACTCCAATACATTATCTATCAGTGTGTAGCTTGTGGGTAGTTCCGGACAGGTGGTGTCATTCCCATGTCCACCCAGGTCCACAGTCATCTTCCATCTCAAAATGAGGGCAAATTCTACTTGCAGAATGTAATCTCTGAGGGAAGGACACAGTCTGAAGCAAACAAAAAAGCCTCACTGTTTTAGACAATCTAGAGTAAGCTAGGGCAGGGCACAGCCTCTCTCACATTGCCTTGATGTGTTGGGTAATCTCTCAAAGAACTGCTGAGAAAGCATGGACAGGAAGTCATCATTTAGAACAGACTGTGGCTAACCGATGCTGGCTGTGCTCACTCAGGTTCCTGCTCAGCCTAGAAACCAGGCAGTCAGAACCTTCTGTGGCTCCTTCCCTTGGGCAGGGACCAACAAGTCCGTTGTCTACAGCACAGAGAGGGTCTTGTCAGGAAAGTGGCTGTAAAGTGGAAGACCTTACAGGGTGTAAGGGGGAGAGAATGAGAGAGCAGGCTAGAAAGGGACAAAATGGAACCCAGTGTGAGTGTGTGCACGGAGTCGGTGGCTATTAATAAAGAGATGTAGGCCAGGTAGAGTGGAGCAGGCAGGACCTGATTGCTGAGGACAAGTAATTGGTCCTCCCCCGCCCCCACCCCCGGCTTAATGCTCTGCTCTTGTACCATCTCCCAGATGTGTTTCTGTTGCCATGGTGGCTGGGGCAGGGGTAATGGCCCTGGAGCAGAGAAGATGAGGCCACAGAAGGCTTTTTGCTCTTTTAATACTGATTATGGAACCTCTCATTTGGTGCATCTGGAGCACTTTGGTAATGGATTTTTAAACTTTTCCATCATCTGCATGCTGGTTGGCTTCTGCCTACCTCTGAGCCTGTGGGGAGCCCAGATTAGAGCGAAAATCCGTGCTCACAGCAGGACTGTGGAGTCACGTGCTCTCTGAGAAACTGGAGAGGAAGTCAGAAAGCAGGGAAAAGGAACTGGCTAAAAGTAGGTGTGTGTGTGTATGTGTGTGTGTGTGTGTGTGTGTGTGTGTGTGTGTGTGTGTGTGTGTGTATGTTCGGGACAGGACTTCATGGTTCACCTGTAGAGAGTTCCAGTTGTGTGGGGCTTTGTTTAAAATCCCTTAAGAAAATAGCCAGTAAATTTTAGATTAAAACTATACATGTAGGGCCAGGGATGTAACTGAGCTTGCGGTGTGTGCTCAAAGTCTTGGACCCAGTCTCTGAGCACTGCAGAGACTCCAGGGTAGTGAGGCATGCTTATAATGCCAAGTGCAAGAGGATCAGAAGTTCCAGGTCATCCTCAGCTATATAGCAAGTTCGAAGCCAGCCTGAACTATGTGAGACGCATCTTAAGCAATGACCAGAAAACTGCAGGTGCAAAATGTGTAAGATGAAGCCGTTCCACTCCCTATGTAAGTTTCTGGAGCGTCAAGCATCTGCAGGAGGTCTCTGATTCTATTTAGGGGCGGAAGACAGAACTCACTGTGCCTTCCAGGCCAGCAGTGACAGTATGAAACCTGCATCTGCACCAGCTCTCCTGGGTTAGCCATGTCACCAAAGCTTGCCCAACCGGCAGGACATAGCAGCAGCCTGTGCCACCTGAGCTCAGTTCCAGGTGCCAGCTGGCTGCATTTCCTTACTTCTTCAGGCTAGACACAAGATGGCCTCCAGCTGTCAGAGGTTGAGGCATCAGACTTCCTGGGGACCTCTACAAAGAGTTTGCCTCCCAAAGCATCTGTCTTATTAACAGTGTACCCACTTTCCACCACTGATTGCCTTTTCCGGGGGATGTTGGTTTCCTTGCCAAACCAAACAGAGCTTGCTTGGACCAGGCAGCAGGCTATGATTCTTGCCACCTGTTCATCTGGAGTCTTCTCCACATTAGAGCTGTTTTGTCAAATGGTACCTGACTCTCACCCCAATCAGCAGTCGTCAAAGGCAAGCTGGTTAGAAGTCTCACTATTATAGTAATGATAGGTCCAAAAGATCAGACATGAATTTAACTCCATTGCTAGACAACTGAGATTAAAGCCTATTCATCTGTCTAGTGCATTCTTACCAGGTGTACTTGCCAGGTATTTGTGCTAGCAGGACAGAGCCTGGGGCACACCATGGTAAACAAGACAGGTACTATCGTGGCCCTTTGGGAGCTGTGCTCTGGTAGAAGAGACAGATGAAATACAGTCACACAGATGGTCTACCAGGTCTAACTGACCAGTACTGTCAAGGAAGCAAGTGAAACACAGAGCCAGGGACCAACAACGGGACTGATGAGCCTTCCTGAAACAGAGGTGGGGATGACAGACTGAGAAGTGGAGGGATCCAGCCATCCAAAGAGCCGGGTAAAGAGGACATTCAGAGGTATCCCTTGACAGAGTCACCCACGTGGCCTAGTGTGAAGAATGGTGTGTCATAAGGAAGTGATGCTGGGACATTATTCTATTGAAGGGATCAATAACCAAGCCCTTGTTTGTAACACTTTCTTTCCTGACCATGCTTTTCCTCTTCGTGTGGATATAAGAGGAACAGGGAAGGTGAGCATTCTCTGGGGAGCACCCATCTGTAAGGAAAGCAGAGTCCATGACTCCATGAGGATTTCAGACCTGGCTTCAGCATGACTGTCTGTACTGTGACTCGGGGGTTAATGACTGCTCCTTTGAAAATATGAGTCATGAGGCTTCAAGTTGTCTCAGAGGGTAAAGGTCCTGAGTTTGATCTCTGGGACCCATGTGGTAGAAAGAGAGAATGGACTTCTACAAATTGTCCCCTTGTCTTTGCTTGAGTGCTATGGGCCCCATCCCTTTGTCATCGTGTCCCTCCCACTGAAGAGGACACCTAGTGGATGTTGCAGTAAATCCCTGCGATGAGCCAGGCTGAGGTGACTCTTGTATCTGTTCTCTTTCAGATGAACTAGGAGGTGAAACCCTGAAAGTGTGAGTCCTCTCCACCAGTCTAACGTTCCCGTTGTGTAGACAAGAACAGTCAAGGAGAAGAGATGAGAAAGCCATTAGCCTTTCCCCAGATTGTGTTGTGACAACCTGGCTCGCTTCTCTTGCACCTAGACTCTGACAGACCTGCCCCCCCCCCCCATTGTCTCGAAGGGTATCTGTTGTGGTCAGCTTCTAGAAAAGGGATTTTGTTTGGCTGCTAACAGTGCCAAATGCATAGCAGTTAAATATTCTGGCCCTGGGTGAACACTAAAGACACCAAGTGATGTCTCCCTGCCCCTCACATCAGCCTCTCTGCTGTAGATTCATCTTCCTGTGCAGCGCCCACAGTGCGTTCAGAGCTGGGTCTTTCCTTCCTGGCTCCATCCATCCTGACCAGAGCTTTTTCCCCTATCCACGAGGCCCTTGAAGCCTGGGAGATGGGGCTGAGGCTTTTCTGAGAGCTGCCGCTCCATTGCTTCCAGCTAGAAGAGCCTACACATTGAAGGAGACCAGATAAAAGCAACCTGGTGCCTGATCTCTTTTTCTGGGCCATTGATGAAAACTCCAAGAAAAGAGAAGTGAGACCAAGCAAGGTCAGGAAGCTAACTGAGAGGACCACTGAGCACCCTGGCAACCATGTCTTTGGTCTCCAGAGAGCAGCTTCTCTTAGTCCACTCCCTGGCCTCTGAGCCATCCGGTTTGGCCTTAGTGACAGAGGAGAGTTCATTGAAGATTTTGCCTTTCTTCCTGCTAGTGTTTGATGCTCTCTTGGTTAGGGCAAACCCAGGGCTAGCTTGAGTTGTCAGACACAGAATCAGGTTGTTTCTAACACAAATGAGCATCAGCCTACCGAGCCCATTCTTTTTTTAATGCGTTTCTGCTGTCTGTCTAGACCGATCTTTGAAGAGGACACACCCTCTGTTATGGAAATAGAGATGGAAGAGCTTGATAAATGGATGAACAGCATGAACAGAAACGGTATGTGGAAGCCCAAAGTGTTTGCCTCTCTGGTAACACAGGGCTAGACGGCTGCCTCGGCTTCGTCAACAACTCAGAAAATCTGAAGCCATGCTTCATCTGGCACTCGACCTTAAAGATCCAGTTTAATCCTAGTCACTGTGTCTGTAACCACTTGTTTTTATTTGTGTACTAGTTGTCGAAGTAAGGTATTTCAAGAAGAAACGGTGCTACTAGTTTCCTTCCAATAGCGTGCGTGCGTGTGCGGGTGTGGGTGTGTGCGGGTGTGTGCGGGTGCGTGCGGGAGTTACTGGAAATCTAATCCTGTCCTCTCATATGCTAGGTAGGTGTTTTTCCACTAAGCTACATCCCTAGCCTTCATCTTTCTAGCCTGGGAAGGAAATCTGATACAAATTTATAGGGGGGAAAACTGACATGACCTTATATTTTCTTGAATTTAGAGAATTCCAATTTGTATGTGGTTACACAACTTCATCAAGTGTATTTTACAATACACAAGGTGTTAGAACTGTGGTAGTGGCTGAATGGTAATCGTCAAGCTGACTCTAGAACACCCCCATGACTGTAGATAGTTCTATCAGACAGGACTGCTATACACACTAATAGAATATTCCCACACAGTAATTTTCAAGTGATTGCTGGTCTTTAAACTGTGTGTTCATTAACAATCAATACAATTTTAAATTAAATTAAAACTCAATAAAATTTTCTTGATGCTCATATGAAATTGATAAAACTCACTATATATTGTACTATTTGTATGTGTTATAGTTGTGGTGTATACTTGTATTGTGTGTGTGTTTGTGGTATATGCATGTATTGTGTGTGTGTGTTTGTGGTGTATACATGTAATGTGTGTGTATATTTTTGTGCAGAGAAAAACATCGTGCACACACACACACACTATGAATGGACTTACAGGTAAAAACCACATCAAGGTTTTTACATGGGTGCTGGGGATTTGAACTCAAGTACTTGATGCTTGTGTATTAAGGAAGACTCTCAACCACTGGATGATCTCTTCAGTCATCTGTAATTTTTCGGACAGACTTATTTAATTAGCTACTTATTTATGTATGTGCATGTTCACAGTTGTGTGCAACTACTAGCATTCATGCACATGCATGGTGTCCAGAAGAGGGTGCTAAATATTCAGTGAGCAACCCTGCCTCAAAAAATAAGGTATAGAGCTAACACCATATGGGAATACATGAGTGTGCATATGAGCACCCAGGCATAATACACACACATACACACCACACACACACACACACACACACACACACACACACACACATACACACACCATGTGGTAGTGGAGAAAGAATTTCCCTGGGAGAAGGTGGTCCCTCCCCACCTTCCTGACGATTCTGCTGTGAAGCTGTCCTGCAGGCGCTGTAGGACCTGAGGTACACCATTTCAGTCCTGTGTCTCACTTCTGAGATGCATATTCTGGTTTTCAGAACACTGTGAGCTTCCAGGGGACCGACTGAGCAAGCAATGATGAATTGTGCCCTTTCAACAGGGGCACAGAACACTGCAGCCCTGTATCTGCGTGATTCGTGCTCTTACTGTGTCAGAAGCTTCAGCGTCATTAATCTTTGAACCTCTAGAACTCCCCAGTGGGGCCATTTCTTCACAGGTAGCCACACAGAGGCACAGTTCATTCCCAACTGTGTCAGTTTTGTGGGTAGAAAAAGCAATTCTGGTGACTAACGGTGAATTTCATTTTCTTCTGTCCTAGCCGACTATGAATGTTTACCTACTTTGAAGGAAGAAAAGGAGCCAAACCTCAGCCCAAGGTACTTGTGATTTCTATCAGGTGTGGTGAAGGGTGGAAGAGGGTCCCAGCCACAGCACAGTACAGCACAGCACAGCAGTTTCTTTGGCTTTTTTGTGCCTGACAATTTAATATGTCAGTTTACAGGGAGGAGTGTGTGGTCAGAAATCATGTTTTGGAAAATACAAAACATCCTAGTACCTCTTGAGGTTTCAGAGAGACACTGTTGAGCTGGCTTTTGTTTTAGTCCTAAGATTTGCTGATTATAGCAGATTGATTCGGGAAGTTATTTGCCTTGGATAGATAGGTGTTTGATAAGGAAACAGAAGAAAGGGGCAGCCCCAGATGGGATGGTTTTCAATAATCGTGACTAAGAGGGACATTTTATAAAGCAAGGAAACAAAGAACCCTAACCTACTTGGTCTAGATTAGTATCAGAGAGAAATTAAATAAAAATTAAAAACATCTCAGTCTGCCACTAGGTGGCTCTGCTTGATAGAAAATTTTAGTGCCCTGGGACCAGGTGTAACTTATTAGGACTTGCCGGTATTATTTAAATGATGTGATCTTTGTGAGGAGAGAAATTAGTGAGTTGGGGGATTTCTGATTAGAGAAGTTTTCTCAGTATGTGGAAAGAACTGGAAGGAATTGAAGAGCGGACTTGCTTTTCAGAGAATGACTATAGTTTGGGGGTCACCGAGTCAGCTGCTGGGGTAACAAAGATGACTGGACAGCAGAGAAGTTGAGCTGTGACCGCAATGGGACTCTTGTGTTAGAGGCACAGATCGAAGCTTGAGAGTGTAGCAAATACCCGTGAGAACACATCATCCGTTCACGTGTCACAGGTGTTTCCAGATACAGTCACATGGCATCAATAGGCCCAGCGGCCACAGCCCTGCAAGTAAAGACTAATGGTCAGGTTTTCCTTCAGGGTCTTTGACTCTGCATCTATTCTAGAATCCCAACATGTCACTAATAGCTCACCACACTGCATCTCTGTCTGTCATAGCCTGACATGGTCCTACGCAGGGCAGCCTCAGCTCTAACCCATAAGTCCACTCTTAGCAATTAAGTCCATGTTAACTCTTGGGGCATTTATACATTACAATTCATCACGAGTTTGAGATACATTCTATCTTACTTAAAATGAGAGTCCAGATAATAACAAGAAGGCAAAAGAAAGAAAAATAATGCCCTGGTTATAATGCAAAGGGCATTATGGAGGAATCTTTTCCACCTATCTTAACCTTCCCCTCCTAATGAGACAGTGCATAGGTCAATTCAGGTCATCTTCAAACTCTGTTTACATTCTGACTGTATCCTCAGTGCTGAGGATTGTCAGAAGTTCTACATCCTTGAATCTCACTCTGTGAAATTACTGACATCACTGCTGAGGAAAACTACCCTGACAGAATTGTACAGTGAGGAACTTTTATTAAAAATCTTTTTCTTAAATATAGAGAGGTTGATTCTTGAAATGAGCTGCCTGTAAGACAAAAAGGCCCCTGCCTATCTGTTTGGAGTTCTAGGTGAACTGGTTATTTTGCAAGTGAGTATCTGAATTCCTCTGTGGGCCTGGAACCATCTGGCTTTGACAGGACACCTGCCAGGGCTTCACCCCATCCTCTGTCTGGAAGCTGTGCTGGAGTTCTAGACTGGACAGTCTCTGCTCACAACCACAGCTCTTGCTAGTGACTTCCACGGGCATATGATATCAAAAGCAGAAAGAATTCACAGGGAACACTCATGTGTTCTTTATCTCCCAAGTACACAGCCCAGCCCATCATCAATGCCTCCCCACGAGTGATACATTTGTTACAATCACCTGATAGGTTGTCATCAAGCAACCTTCCTCTGTGGCATCAACCCCTGAGACAATCCCCGACCCCCAGTCAGGTACACAAAATGCTTCAGAAAGCAGGGACAGCGACTAAGGAGTGACTTTAATAGGTGCCGCACTTGTCCACCCTCCGGATAAGGACAACTTCTGGAACCATTTGCAGCATCAGCATCCGGGACTTCTGGGCTTCTGAGGACTGGCAGCTCTGTTGGCTAACCCTACAGAGCTTTCCCTGGAATCCATACCAGCCCTGATTCTCACTTTCCCTGTCCTCACTTTTCTATCCTTTTTCTGCCACACTTCTTGTTCTCCCCTTGGCTCCTCCCTCCCTCCCTCCCTCCCTCCCCCCCCACCCACCCACCCCAACCACCAAACCACAAA